CTTGTAATCTTCCGGAACTCGCCAGTTCAGGGGATGGGTTCTCTAGATACAGTTTCATGCACAGTTAGATCTCAGTAATCTGTTTACAGATGGTTGCTGCTCCATTCCTAATATTCCTAATACGTGTGACTTCAACGACTTCTTGCCGCGACGTCCCTAATTACCCGGGAAGGTAAGCTCAGTGAAGTTTAGTGCGGCTGCCGTAGTTCATACCAGTTACCTGCGGCGGCGCTACGCGCAGTTCACGTAGGGGAAGCCGTCTTCCCCCAGATAAAAGGCCACGACAAGGAATAAGTCTCCTTTTACGATGCGGTACGCATTCTAGTTTCATTCAGAATAGTAGTGTCCTGCACTACTATTCTGAATGGGGCCAGCCAATATGCACGTCAATATCTTCATACTCCCAGACGGAATTCAGAACCAGTTTACCGGAGGTGGAAGGCTTTGTTTTCCTAGGCAGGAGCCTATCGACACCTCTACACCACACATAATACAATCAGCGCCACCTCATGCCAGTTTCTATCTGTTTATTTGTAGCTCCTCCCACTGAGGCATGCGATTTCGTATGGCTAAGAGTCGCTAGAGAGGGGCACTTCCGGAACTGCATTGCAACCTTATGGCTCTCGAATTGAGCTTATTTTTCGTCAAAAAAGATAAAGTCTCCGCCATTGATCCCTTCGTGAGAAGCGGCACGCGTTCTAATTCGTAGCGTCTTATTGAATGCGATGTGGACTACGCAATGACCTACGCGGAACAGTCAATGTACAAATCAGTGTCACTACCCACCCAGATGAATCTGGTACAGTCTACAATCTACGAAGTGAAGATGGCTTGGATGGTCTGGGCGGGAGCAACCCGAGATTTGAGTCCAGGATTGCGCGAGTGCTATGTGCGCCACTTGTTCCCTTTCTCCCCTGGCCCTTATTCCCGTTACTACACAATCAGTTATCACAAGAATGCTGTGTTGTGGGCAAAAGTCGTGCCCCAGGCGGGAGTCGAACCCGCACCTCACGCTTTCCGGGCGAGTGCGCTATCCGTTACGCCACCAGGGCCGCTTTTACCCTCTCAGCTTAACGGCTTTTATGCCGTAGCCTATCAGCACTCACACACGTTTAACTTGGTGACAACAACTCAGCATTCTTGTAATAACATTCGGAACGCGTACTGCGGCGTTAAACAGCAGTTATCATAACAAAACAGTTCAACAAAAACAATGAGCTATGTTTAACATGCAGGAATGTAATAAAAGTTTCCAACTTTTCTGTGCTCATTCTTTTCAATACAGGGATCTCGTTCTATGGTCGAGAGCAAGCGATTAACGCTTATCACTAGAGATCGAAGTACACTTATCTCTATACCCCGTAAGGAGGTGCGTAGTCGACCAGATCACCAGACTGTGTTTCTATGCGCACTGATAATCGACGCTCACGATAACATTTGAGCATAGAAGTTCCCAAGCTATTTAGCAATAGCATGTCTGGTGAGCCGGTCGACTACGCACCTCCACAGTGGAGTGGCGAACAGTACGATAATAGGAACGCGCCTTATGGAAACAGGAATACGGCAAGCTGACTTCTTGTAAAATTTCCACTTTGTAGAAGAAAGGCTGCGACTATCTTTCAGCCTGACATCGAAAGATATGGTAAGAATAATGAGTTCGGATTTGATGACGCCTCTATTAGGGCAGGGTTCGTCCGAAAGGTTTTCGCCATCGTCACAATTATGGTAATCGCTAAATCAATCCAAGAAGTTCAGATTTTACAGTGTCTTTTAGTGTCTGATTTGCATACTCATGGTGACACCTGTTGTTGTAAACACGGAACTGAGGGAGCTCATGATCAAAAACAGTTGGATCTACCTCCTTGCATTGTTAGTCTTCACTAACCGTTATGACCATGAGATGAAAGCTGCTAAAATGAGCGTGGTTGTAGAACAACCCACGGCAAGAAAAATCCGAGGTCCGGGTGAATGAGTATTACCATAATTTGCCATTAAGGCACAGTGTTGTT